CAATGTTAATAATATTTATAATGAATAATAATAATATTCCAAATAAATATTTTACGGGTCTCGCCCGAATACCCTGCAGACTCAGAAACGCTATTTTCTCGATCATTTTATCTTAATGCAAGCATCAAAGTTTGTTAATAGTGTTGAAGGTGAGGAAATTTAAAATCTAGCAAAAAGCTGTGGCTTACAACGGTGGTACCAGAACGTAATATTTCCTTGTGTTCGGCATTAGCATTTAATCATGCTGAACTTGATATTTGTGCTGTATCACGAAGTTTTTTATTTGAATTTCATGTACTGTGAGAAAGGTCTGTCGCAACCCTACCATATAGCAACTATATATTTCACCCATATTCAAACGTGTTGTATAGACAAGAACTATAAATACCCCGACGTCATCCCGACCAAATTTGGACCATAAAAGGATAAATGATGTAAAATAAGAATATAGTTAAGACTGATAATTGTAAAATACAAATATATATATTTGCATTGCATATACAACATAATATGTTGAAATTACAATGTAATTTAATAAGAATACAGTGTTACGATGTAACTTATTACTTTATTAGAGGACATTATGTTGAAGTAATATACGTAAAGATCGTATTTATTTCTGCCCCAGTCATCCATGGCTGCTCCCTAAAAACTCTCGCTCACAAAAATAGAAATAATTCACTACCTTAAAGTTATTCTTGTTGACATTCGAAACGATAGAATTATTCAGGAAGTCAGTCTTACCTTTCCTTCGTTTTTGCTGTGTTTGTGTAGATTCTGGATTATTGCCTAATACTTTATTAGATTATCAGGGCCGTTGTAAGTTGCAATAGAATCACAAGGGACGTAATAAATAATGCATTTATCTAGCTAACTGCTTACTAGCCTTATAGCACGTACTGATACATTGGCAATTCAGTAGTGTGGCATAACACGGTTAAGGCACGGTTAACGCACGGTTAAGGCACAGTTAAGGCACGGTTAAGGCACGGTTAAGGCACAAGGGTTACATAAGGCACGGTTCTTAAGGCACGGTTAACGCACGGTTAACGCACGGTTAACGCACGGTTAAGGCACGGTTAAGGCACAAACTGCCCAAAAGCAACCATTATGGTCGCTTAAGGCACGGTTAACGCACGGTTAACGCACGGTTGGGGAAATATAACATATAAACATACAAGTGGTTAACTAAGGCACGGTTAAGGCACGGCTAGGGAACAAGGGTTACATAAGGCACGGTTGTATCACGGTCACTTAAGGCACGGTTAAGGCACAAACTGCCCAAAAGCAACCATTATGGTCGCTTAAGTCACGGTTAACGCACGGTTGGGGAAATATAACCTATAAACATACAAGTGGTTAACTAAGGCCCATGATCTAAATGTGACGATCTGTAAATTTTACAGTGCGATTCCCGCTATGAATAAATTTTCTAATTGTAAAGCAACAGCCCTGCTTCGTTTGACCGTCCTATATTTGAAATCCTTATCTCGATTAACGATCTCTTCAGGTAAAAAAGCTCTTCAAATTAAGTTAACATCTCCTAGAGCTCACACAGTGGTTACAGGTCAGGGAAGGAGGGGTAGGAGTGTAGGTAGTCCTTGGGCATATGGTGGCAATGTGGCCACTAGCGCCACAGTGAAGGCATTTAGGGATGGGGGCGGCAGCAGAGTGTCGAGTTCCTCTTCGAGTTACCATGGTGAGTAAAGTAGTAGTATTTTTAAGAGTAGACAATGAAAAGATGGGATGGTTGTGTTGAATAAAGCTGCGTTTATATACAACTGTGATAGAGTGACAGAGCTTGTTTATTTCGGGATATGATCCATGTCAGCTGATCAACGAGATCAAAAGTTTGCATGTATTGATAAGTGTGCGGGTGGTGTCAGCACGCAGCAAGGTTGGGTGATGTGATCTGATACATGACTGCGAAGTAGGTTGTGTAGATCACCTCGCTCAAATAAACAGGTGTGAGCTCTAGGAGATGTTAACTTAATTTGAAGAGCCTTGTTACTTGAAGAGATCGTTAATCGAGATAAGGATTTCAAATATAGGACGGTCAAACGAAGCAGGGCTGTTGCTTTACAATTAGAAAATTTATTCATAGCGGGAATCGCACTGTAAAATTTACAGATCGTCACATTCAGATCATGTGCCTTAGTTAACCACTTGTATGTTTTTAGGTTATATTTCCACAACCGTGCGTTAACCGTGCCTTAGGCGACCACTATGGTTGCTTTTGGGCAGTTTGTGCCTTAACCGTGCCTTAACTGTGCGTTAACCGTGCCTTAAGTGACCGTGTCTCAACCGTGCCTTATGTAACCCTTGTTCCCTAGCCGTGCCTTAACCGTGCCTTAGTTAACCACTTGTATGTTTATATGTTATATTTCCCCAACCGTGCGTTAACCGTGCGTTAACCGTGCCTTAAGCGACCATAATGGTTGCTTTTGGGCAGTTTGTGCCTTAACCGTGCCTTAACCGTGCGTTAACCGTGCGTTAACCGTGCCTTAAGAACCGTGCCTTATGTAACCCTTGTGCCTTAACCGTGCCTCAACCGTGCCTTAACCGTGCCTTAACTGTGCCTTAACCGTGCGTTAACCGTGCCTTAACCGTGTTATGCCACACTACTGAATTGCCGATACATTCGTTAGTTGTAAAATTCAACAAACAGTGCTGTCGTTGATCGTCTACTCGTAGTTTCTGGATATTATTTTTTTTTATTTTATTTTTTTATATTATGGATATTATGTTAAAGTGTTAACGATATTATTTGATCATTAGCAACCGAGGATAACTTATTGTAGAAGTTGTTCTGTTTATCGAATGTTGTTAAACTTGATTGCATTGAAAAGTCTATTAGTTTATGTGTCATCAGCAACGATATATTTTGTTGCCTGTTATGCTTGTACTTTCAGTGTTGTATAATATAAGAATATAAGAGCCTCTCTTGGTCAGTAATTCTCTTGGTAATTGAATTTCGTGTCTCTGATTAGAGGTTCATAAATTATACTTGTGAAGCTGTGAGACTATCAGACTGACATGAATTGCAGCGAAATTAGTGACAGGAACTGGATAGGTTCCTTAGTCGTAAAATTCAATATTTCCATTATCACCAATGCTCAAGAACCGGATCATCAATGCGGTCAACACAGATCATACACAAGTTTGTTTGTTTCCGTTATACTCACATTGAATTGCAACCGGCTCCTTCTTAACTTCTTTTCTTTGTAAGTTATTATAAGTTTATAATAAGTTGGATCTTATGAAGTTATGATAAAATGGTTTTGTTCAATGTTGCCGAAGTATGTTCTTATGTTGCTCTTAAACTCCGCTGTAAATTAATTTTAATTGTCTCCTATACTATATATGTGTTCATAACGCTTTTGTACGCGCGCAATTAAGCTCAGTGAGTTAGTGTAGTTAATGTTATACTGGCGTAGGTATAACATATTACCGCTGCCCTTCTTGGACAGTTGTACCGGATGTGGTGGGTTTATGAGTTATTCCACCCGCTCTCTCAGACTCAAGTCTCAGTAATTCATGGTCTGGTCACATATTTCCTGTTGCAATGCTTAAACACTCACCTACCTTCGTGTTGTACTGAAAGAAACCTTTTATTTATAATACTTCAAAGCCTTTGCAATTGACTGTATGAGTAATAAGACCACGTACGTATTGACGATTGTGCAATGTGCATCGGAAGGGGAGACAAATTTTAAGAACCTATTCGGCCATTTTGCGGCACCTTGCATTGTTCTTTAACTCTCAGTTCATTATCAATGAACTTCATCGACCCAAGGTTCTTAGCACGACCCCCTTCAGGCGTGGGTTTCAGGTTTCTACCGCATTAAACTTCTACACTCGATATTGAGACATGATCTAATTATTTCCAATACTCACCTATTCTTTATTACGCGGGCATGAATGTTTCTACTCGCCCTTTTTTAAACAGTTTGTTATGAAAAGTTACGCGGTTTATTTGCACGTGCATTTAGTTGATAACACGTGCAATATGGAAGACACTAGACAGGAACCATCCTGTTGAGTGTTGGCCCATTAAAGTACAGTTCTCTCACCAGTACGAATAGTGAAAGTAAGAAAATATCAAAATGACGGATCGATGTTGGTTGGAAAGTTTTGTGAGGTCTGATTGTTATAACAATCGACCGCGCGGAGTCAATTTTTGTTGCACTAATTGAAATAAAAGGTGATGTAACGCTGACAGCTACAGCATTAGAAACTTGAGCTAACATATTTGTCGGAAATATGGACTTAGAATGAAACGGAAGAAATAACATCTAGGTCGCACGTCCTAACAAGCGCGTTTGTATGTTTTGCATTCTTAACTAAGGAAGGCGAGCACGAATTTATGTTTTCATTTAGACAGCTCAGCAATACCATCAATATACTAGGAATATTAGGTAAGTCGTTTGCTCCGAAATTTTGACTAAAGAAGCTGCATAATATTGAGAGTATTGTTTCACGGGTATCACCTTGCTGTAATTTTATAATATTAATGCCTTCGTGACCCCGACTTCTTACTTTCTTAGTATACCATTCCTGGTTTAACAATGAGAATTACACCATGTTGAGTTTACATCCAACTTGTTTGTGGTCCTTAAGTCCCTCTGCAGCGCAGTGAATTTGAGTTTGCCGCCAAAAATTTGCAATCTACTCGTTTTAAATATTTATTTTTAGGACATTGTGCAGCACAATTTGTGCCAAGTGCATTTTGTATCATACTGCTCTACCTTACGAAACACTGGCCCTGCTCTTATCATCAATAGTAAGCTTATCTGTTATACTCTTGAGAGTTTTTTAGTACCTGGTTGTCTTATCCTGTATCTGAAGTATTTAAGTCCTAAATATAAGATTCGAATCTGTCTTGACATAATTGCCCCTAAAGATGTTGAGTTTTGTTAAAAAGTTGATATTTGTTTATCTATGCCAAAACTAGCATTATACTATAACCTTTCAAACTTCAAAGTCCTCATATCATCTCAGAGAAATGTCCACTGTCGGATCTACAGCTACCACCTTAACATCCGTTACAACCTCTTTTATCACGGTGGGCCCGAAAGATCTCGTCTTTAACCCTTTTAAAGACTATGAACAAGATCCAGGTGATGACATTTCAGGTGAAGCTAGCACGACAGTCACAGAGTTCGTCAGTTCTTACTCAGCAAAAGTAGAAATCCTTGACCTATTGGTCAACCCCAGCTGGAGCAATAGTTCTGCAGCAGACAAAAGCGAGGTATTCACTGACAAGAATTCCGAAGGAGGTTTCACATACGAGGGATTCAAGATAACGAGGGCAGTTAGTGTGCCCTGTCTCTTCCTCATGTTGGTGTCATCCATCCTCCTTGTGTACATCATCCTAAAACACCTCAGAGGAATCCTCTATCTCTACATCTCCGTTCTCTTCTATGCTTTTACTCAGGTTTGTACAATTATTATGACTATGGTGAAGTTTCAATTTTTTGCAAATTTTTGACATCCTACTTGCCGGAGTACAGAGTAGATAGCCTCATTAGAGACTTACTGAAACTAAAAAATGAATCATCACATTCACCGCTGACCACAGACTATGTCACTGACTCTTACTGACTATGTCACTGACTCCTACTGACTGTGTCACTGACTGTGTCACTGACTATGTCACTGACTATGTCACTGACTCCTACTGACTGTGTCACTGACTGTGTCACTGACTGTGTCACTGACTATGTCACTGACTCCTACTGACTGTGTCACTGACTGTGTCACTGACTATGTCACTGACTATGTCACTGACTGTGTCACTGACTGTGTCACTGACTGTGTCACTGACTATGTCACTGACTATGTCACTGACTATGTCACTGACTCCTACTGACTGTGTCACTGACTATGTCACTGACTGTGTCAGTGACTGTGTCACTGACTGTGTCACTGACTCCTACTGACTGTGTCACTGACTGTGTCACTGACTATGTCACTGACTATGTCACTGACTATGTCACTGACTATGTCACTGACTATGTCACTGACTCCTACTGACTGTGTCACTGACTGTGTCACTGACTATGTCACTGACTCCTACTGACTATGTCACTGACTCCTACTGACTATGTCACTGACTATGTCACTGACTATGTCACAGACTATGCCACTGACTATGTCACTGACTATGTCACTGACTATGTCACTGACTGTGTCACTGACTATGTCACTGACTATGTCACTGACTGTGTCACTGACTGTGTCACTGACTATGTCACTGACTCCTACTGACTATGTCACTGACTGTGTCACTGACTGTGTCACAGATTATGTCACTGACTCCTACTGATTGTGTCACTGACTCCCCCTCCCTCTCCAGGTGCTGCTAGTCCTAGTGATGGTTGTCTCATGGTCTTTACGTGACGTGCCCCAGACCCCCTTCTCCTGCCAGTACTTCGTCACAATCCAGAGTGTGAGTCTCGTGCTCCCTGTCTACGGACTCCTCTTCATCACAGTCGTCAGAACCATCTTCCTCAGACGCCCCTTCGACAACGATCTCCTTCTTGAAGCACGGTTCCAGCTTACCGGACTTTGCATTAGTTTGTGTGTATGCGGGGTTGTGTTCTCGCTTCCTCACCTTGGTGTCTGCGAGATTGACCTCATAAAGCCAGCAGGAGGTACATCCTACTGTGGTTACAGATGGGAGGGTGTGGAGTGTAGAGCGTTCAAAACTTCAGCACTGATTGTAGGGTACATCCTCCCCGTCCTGTTAGTCCTGGTGCTCTACGCTGTGATCTACAGCACAGTTCTCGTGCTCCGTACCAGGACCAGGAAGATGACCCAATCAGTGGGACTGATGAGTGAGTCTTCTGAGAAACAGACGGTCTCCAGAAGCAAGAGCCTGGAATGGGTTGAGAAGATCAGAACTTCAATGCCCTGGTGCATTATCATCATATTATTCTTATACATCGTGTCCACTGTTCCCTGGATACCCATGGAACTTTATACTCACAAAGTGACTGCTATTTTAGGAAATCGGAATTATTCCACCCTGTTATTTGACATTCTGTATTCAGTGCTGTTGTTGGGATCCGGCTTGTCACCTCTAACCTACTTGGTTACTTCCAATACACTACGTGGATTGTTTCTCGTAGAGTACAGAAAGCTCAGAGGTTATTCTTGTTGTGAGAGTAATGTTTAAGCCCTATAAACTTATAAACATATGATGAAACTGACTGTGATAGTTTTGATAACATCAGATGCGAATATCTTCGGGTTATGAACCGCAGACTTATAAACGGTACTTTTAATGTTCATTTTTTACAGAATTGCTTCTTTAATAACAGGCAAAATTCATGTTCTATTAACAGTTTTTAAATCATGATTTACATTTTGTAAAAATTCGCATGCAAACCAAACACAAAGATCAAATTCCTGCTTCAAAGAATGTCCAGCTTACATTAAAAATACCAATATCTTAATAAACTCACTAAGTCCAGCATTTTTCTCAAAACAAAGCCTGAATAATTAAGCCCATGAGCTAAACGAGCACTTATAAGGCTGCCTGGGTCGGGGAGCGTGGTGTAAGCTCTTGTGGACTATGGTGTTGGGTGATATCTGTCCTCTGAGGAGCCTGCAGACCCCCCAGGTGTCCAACTGGTGCCACTCGTCTTTTAGGTGGACCAAATATGTGCATCTGATTGATAATTTAGAATAGAACTTGAAGTTTGGAATAGGTGCGCCTTTAATTTGGGCAAGAAATGAAATTCATGGGACCATCTCGGAAGAAATTCGTAACAAAGGTTTCTCGTTAGGAATGTGTTGTCCAATGTCTCAGGAAATGTATTAGGGCGTTTTATATTCAGCCAATTGGATTTTTTACGATACCATATTCTTAAAGGAAGAAACTAAACTTGCAAAAATTGGATTAAAAAACATCTTAGATAATTTATGACTAACCCGTCTTTGGGACAAATCCTTACATCTTGAGGATCAACAGTGTAGTTCCTGCCACCAATCTTACACTTGTAGATCCAGATGTCATTCTCCCTGTTCCCACTTCTCGGAGGTTTGAAAGCTTGGATACTTCCTATGTACTCCAACTTCTTCGTAACTGCAAAGGAAAGATGATATAAAGTGATATGTTATTCATTGTTAAGTGTTAATGCGAAATTAAAAACCAGTTAAGGTTGGAAATTGAGGATGGGGAAATAGCTACCACTTAGTAAAATATGATCATGTTTACCTGCGCTCCTGGGCACGTCCACCCACAAGTCTTCCTCAATATTAACAGACAGCACACTGCAGTTAGGAGTAGACTTGACATGACAGGGTAGGACCCGGTACACACACCCCTCATACTCCACATCGTACACTACTCTCGTCTTCCCCTGTTCCTCCTTCCGTGTCTTTCTTACTGTCTTCACACTTTCTATGTTTTCCTTTATGAAGTTTTTAGTGGTGGAGGGTTTGGAGCTCCAGAGGCTGCCAGGTTTTTGTTGTCCTCGCTTGATCGGAGACCGGGTTAAGATTCTGTGACCAACTTTCGAGGGTTTTGTCTTCCGTACATTTAGGCTGGGTTTGTGTCGCTTTATGTAAGGAGAAATTGAAGAGAGAATCCTGTTGTTGTACTTCTTTCCCTCCTCCTTATCCAAAGAAGCAAAATGGATCCCGTAATTAGCCTCATTGTAAAGCCTCCTCAGTAGGTTGATACTCTCCCTATGTGACCGGTCTGGAACTTCACTCTCCTCTTCCTCCTCTTCCACAAGTGTAACCTCTTCATCTGTCTCAGAATCTGAGGGATCTGACACCATATAGGGCGACAAAGAGGCCTCACTTAGCTCTGTGTCCATCCTTTCTTTCTCTTCTCTGAGGATCATTAATTATTTGATATGTCAGCTGTTGTTTGATGACCATTATTTGAGGATCGATCCTCGAAACTAATCGATCCTCGAAACTAAAAATAAGTATCATCAGTGCATGTTATTTGAAAAGTAATACAATAAAAACATACCCCTGAATCTTATCGCCATATTCGTTTGCTCTTGACTTGCTGAATCTGAGGTAGCAGTCCTTGTCCAAAGTAACAGGGCCTTGGTGCAGGTTTGATTTTGACATCCACTTTCTGGGGGCCTTTTGATTTGCGAGCTTTGATGAGTCCCTTGATGCTATGTGCGCGCTGTGTTCGGTGTTTGTCTGTAATAATCAGGGAAACTTGTAGAGTTGTAGAAGTGTAGAGAGAGCAATATTTTTACTCGGTTTACTGAATTTGTGACTATGTGGATTATTAATTAGAAACTAAACTAAATGCACATATTATTATTATATTATTACTATATTAACACACTGAATGCTCACATACCTGTGACAGGTAACTGCTCATCCTGCTTCTGGACAGACCCCTGAGGATCACTTGAAGTAACGGATTCACGGTTTCCAAGTTCACATCCTTTTTGTCCAGTAGCTCTCTGAGGGGAAATCAGTCATAGTGATACACATCCGCAAAAATCGTAAAAGATATAGAACTTAAAATTTGTAGACTTGTTCAAATGCTTCAATGGCCTTCAAATCAGCATGAAAAAATAACAAATTGGCCAATGAATAAGAATTTTAGTGACAAAAATTTGGACCCCCGCAAGTGGTGTCAAAAACGCGAATTAAATAGGTAATAATTATTTTAGTCTCTTGAGTCTTGAAACCACTTTAGGGTTAAGTTAGACGGGTGAAACTCACGTCATGACCGTGATGAGATCTAGAGTCTCCTGCTCTATCTTGGCCTTGTGCTGCTGGCTCGCTAGCGGCATCTCCTCCGTCACTTGATCGGGGGTCTCTTGGGGTACCAAAACTGGGGCCGCTTCCTTCAGTCCTGGGATAGAGGTCAGTTAAAAGACTTTATTTGGACAGACATTAATTGGACGCTGTAGGCCCTAGCGTTCAATGAACGCTAGGGCCTACAGCGTCCAATTAATGTCTGTTCAAATAAAGTGAACGCCGTTCATTTTAATGTTCGTTCAAATAAAGTCCGACAAGGTGGTTAAATTAAATATATTAAATGAATGCCGTTGAGCGTTCATTTTAATGTCCGTTCAAAAGTATGTCCGTTCAAAAAATCTTCGGTCAAATAACGTCCGATAAGGTAAGTTAGATTGAACAGTAGCTCAGTTCTGGTGTCGGAACAAATTGACAGTGACACTTGACAGCCTGACTGTGTTGACTTGAGCTAGACTAAACGTATGATACGTATTGTAATGAAAGCTACTCTACAAAGACAAACTCTTGTCGAGTAAGAGTTCGTTTTCCTGAAGAATGTGTCCATTTTAGGAGTCTAACGGATCTCCCTAATTTAAATAATCTCCCTGATTTAAATAATCTCCCTGATTTGAATAATGCCAAATTAATTTTAATTTTAAACATATTATTGCTACTTAATTTTAGGGGACCTGTACTGTACTGGCAACTTAACACTCATTTTAATGCAGTAACTCAATTTTCAGTGAAGTACGTGATTATGAATAAATAGGTATATCCCTAAATTGATTTTCTACCTCAAAGGATCATCGAAATAGGGTCAATAATATGCAAATAAATATCACAATTATCAACGACCTGTGCGTGGTGTCAGATGTGGTGGATCTATATTCTATTCATTCGTCGTATGTAGATGACTCACAAACCTGATATTCATGATATGGAATACTAAAATATACGGGTTGGTATGTTCCTGCGATTGTATTGGATAATTATGATCCTCTCACATATAAACGGGTCTAAACAGCTCGAAGATTCGTCATTTAATAGTTCTGGGTCCGAGTGCTATCATTTTCTCCTGACTTCACTATAACGAGACTCAGGGAGACACACAGGGTCCCTCCCTAGCTCCATTATCTCCTTTAGCACGTGCACGTGCACAATATATGTCCGCGTGCACGTGCACACTGTATGTCCGCGTGCACGTGCACACTGTATGTCCGCGTGCTCTCACTTTGAAGCGTGCTCTCGCTCTGAAGCTTCTTTATTTTCCAACTCTGCGAGGCACTTGCTTCAGTTGCCAGTAACCACGTAACGTTAAATTACCAGCAGCTAATGGCTTCTCCTGCTACCAGACACCTAGTTACCTCATGTAGAACTATTCGCAATCCTACACCTGGCTGGAACCCCCCTTTGTGACGTGTGATCCGATTACGAAAACTATTTAACCACTACTCCATTCCAGAGTTCAGTTTGCAATCTGGTGCTGCAGCTATTTTACAGACTGTTTCGATCACACGATGTCGCAACAACTTCTACTTGTCACTAAAGTTGCAAGTGTGGATAGTTATGTTCGGAAGACTTTGCAAAACCGGGATGAGTTTGAGGACGATCCTTTCACGGTTGTTAATTTGTCAGACATTCAAGAGAGATTTGAAGAGTGGAAGAAGGAGTTCCCCGAGGTTGAGCCTTTCTTCGCAGTAAAGGCACAACACAATGCCAACACTTTGAAACTCTTAGCAGATAATGGTTGTGGTTTTGATGTTGCATCTCTAGGTGAGTTGGAGAGTGTTGTAGAAGCAGGGGTTCCGGCGGAGAGAATCCTCTATGCACAACCCTACAAACAGCTTTCTCATCTTCTCTACGCCATGGAACGGGACATTATATCAGTTTGTGACTCAGTCGACGAGATTGAAAAGATTGGTGAATTATCCGCACGAATGAACCTCAATCCGAGAATCCTGATAAGGATTTTGCCAGATGATAAAGAGAGTGACTCTCAAGCCAGTCTCTCCACCAAGTTTGGAGCTCCCCTCCGTATACTGGACGACCTCATGAAAGCAGCTACAAACCACAAAGTAACTGTAGTGGGGATAAGTTTCCATGTTGGAAGCCACTGTCACTCTGCTGAACCGTACCTCAATACTCTCCGTCTCTCCAGAGTGTGGTGGGATAGGGTGGTGGGAGAGCACGGGGCACAGCTTCAGGTGCTGGATATAGGTGGGGGATACCCGGGGGAGGGTGGCCCTGACTTTAAGATAATGACTGGACAGATCAACAGTGGGATAGAGGAGCACTATGGTGATATCAGGAGAGATATCCGGATCATAGCTGAACCTGGCCGGTACATGGTTACGAGTTCGTTGAGTGTTGTAACGAATGTGATAGCAGAGAAGGGTAACACATGTGGAGTCTTGGGGTATGTACTGAATACAGGGGGTTTATGGTGGGCTGAGCTACTCAGCGTGGGATAGAAGGGCTGCTAGAGGCTCTAAACCGTACCGAGTAAGGTTAAATCTTACTAACGGGTCGTGTCATTCTCGTGATCATAGCAGAGGAGAAGACGAGCTGGATAGTGCAGTTCAGATTAACGGAGCAGAAGATGTTACACCCGAGAGCGATCAGGAGAAGGAACCTGCTAGGATGGTGTTCTGGGGGCCGACTTGTGATAGCTCTGATAGACTTATTGATGGGTATCATGTGCCCGGTATTAAAAGAGGTGATTGGATAGTGTTTCCGGACTTGGGTGCATACTGCAGCAATATAATGACTACCTTCAACGGATTTGCTCACCCTAAGATGCACTTTGTGCACACAGATATGCATGGAGAAAAGATTGAACAATTCTTTCATCGTTAATTAATTTTTGGAAAGAATAAACATTACATCTACTTTATTAAACGTAACTTTTAATTCGCTACTAATTGTGTAGGTTATTGTGATCTATTAAAAACAATTTATTTGCTTCTCTGAATCGAGCAAGTGATGAAAAGAGCATACTTTGTGGCTACGAATTCGTAGCCAACGAGAGCATTTTGGTCTAAATCTATAAACCCACGTGTTTCCTATTTATAGAAATCGCTTATATATAGGCAAAAAAACTTATACGATTATGTCACAAATCACACTTCAGTTAGATCATTTTCCGATACGAGATTGGGGACGGGTTCTACAAACAAACAAAGGCAACTCAGTAGTGTGGCATAACACGGTTAACGCACGGTTAAGGCACGGTTAAGGCACAGTTAAGGCACGGTTAAGGCACGGTTAAGGCACGGTTAAGGCACAAGGGTTACATAAGGCACGGTTCTTAAGGCACGGTTAACGCACGGTTAACGCACGGTTGGGGAAATATAACCTATAAACATACAAGTGGTTAACTAAGGCACATGATCTGAATGTGACGATCTGTAAATTTTACAGTGCGATTCCCGCTATGAATAAATTTTCTAATTGTAAAGCAACAGCCCTGCTTCGTTTGACCGTCCTATATTTGAAATCCTTATCTCGATTAATGATCTCTTCAGGTAACAAAGCTCTTCAAATTAAGTTAACATCTCCTAGAGCTCACACCTGTTTATTTGAGCGAGGTGATCTACACAACCTACTTCGCAGTCATGTATCAGATCACATCACCCCAACCTTGCTGCGTGCTGACACACCCGCACATTATCAATACATCAAACTTTTGACTCGTGATCAGCTGACAATGGAATCTATCCCGAATAAACAAGCTCTGTCCTATAAGATTTGTATATAAAGCAGTACTTCAACCAACTCTCCACATTTTGATTGTTACTACCTTGAAAAACAAACACTTTACTCACTGGATAAGATTGGAACCACACTCTGCTGCCGACCCCCATACTCTACTGTCCTCACGTGTGGCGATAGTGGGGCACGGGCCACACTTCAGTGCAAGGACTATAGTGGACTACCCCATGCCCTGACCTTAAAACTGTACAGATCAACTGCGAAGAGAGAAATTGGGATATCAAGAATACCCATCAACGAACCTGCATACTGGTAGAGTTCGTAGTGTTGACGATGTGCTGCATGAAGGTAACAATGTGCTTGGTATCTAATACGGGTTAGTAGCGCTGACTACTCCTATAGCGGCTGCTAAGGTATCTAACCGCAAGTTGAATTCTACTAAACTCTCATTCTCCAAGAGAGAAGCTGCAAGGCAGATAGTGCAAGTTCAGATTAAGTATACAAAGATGTTAACAGAACGATAGAAAGAATTTAATGAGTAGTGTTCTGCCGATTGTGATAGTTGATAGATTTATTGATGTATTGTGTATAAAATATATTTGAATGTTTCCGATCAACTGCAGAAATAAGATAGCTATCAACCGTTGTCACCTAATTGCACTTGTCCCTACCGTGATATGCTTGAGTTAACAACTTCATGTTATTATTTTTGAAGTATAACATTACCCAACTTGCGTTTAAACCGTAACTTAACTTCCTACAATTGTTGTTTGCATTGTGATCTATTAAAACATGTTAACCTCGTGACTGTGAAACGATGATATAATTATTCAACTAATGTTCTAAAGTGTTAACAGTCTAAAGAATATTATCCACACCTGGTTGCTGGAAAGGGTTCCTCCGCTCCTCTCAGCGGTCTTATTGAAGCTGGTGAGACTCGGATACTCCGTCCGTCAAGTCGTACAATAAAGGTCCCTGGTTGCCGCTTGCTGGGGGAGATCTCCGTTGCTTTAACCACGTTCCACTGTTTGTTGATGAAGACCTGCAGAGTACATATTCAGTAGTATTATGAGGATATTTCACATTATTCAGTATAGTATTAGATACCTAGGAGTAGGTGATCAATAGTGTTAGTAGGTAGTGTTAGTAGGTAGTACCCCTTATATGAGAATGCTATACTACTGAGTACCTACTAGGTACTCAGTAGTATAGCATTCTCATATAAGGGATAAAGTCTGATATGCAGGTTATCACTAACCAGTTATCCATGATTTTAATTATGATTACCAAGCCCAGCCTTTCTTAGACTTTCTAATTAAACATGTACTGCTCAGTCGGTGCTCAATCAGCCAGCCCTTGACAAATTATCACAGCAATTTTGTAACGAATCGTAATTTTGCATCTTAAATTTCTAATTTCACACCTCGTATGCGTTCGTCTCCAGAGAGTTTTCGTTGTCACATTTCGTTAGGGCTGTTCTCTCAACACTGATACTTTGTCCTCCGAACTTTATTGAACAGAAGGTGTCATCCAGGGCAGATATCTTGCGACCAGGAACCGTGTACCATTCTCCGTCAATATTTACTTTGTACTTACCTGTGAATATTTGTTTAGCTTCTGCTAATTTAGATTGTTTTGGTGTGTCTGAAGCTACTTTAATGATCAAAGTATATTAAACTGACGCACCTATCACCAATCACATATCACCAATCACCTATCACCAATCACCTATCACCATTGAAGTTCTGTCACAATTAAAGTTTAATAATATACGTGCGTCAGTTCCAAATTACGTGATGGCTCTACATCTTTCAATCAAAGCACGAACACAGTGGCTCTACATTCAAGCATTCACTGGTGCACTGGTTCCTTAGCGACTCTGAATTTTGTACGTGATATTACTGTATATAATCCAACTAAATAACTAACATATTACCTTCTAAAGTTGGTAGTTGCTCATCTAAAACGGGTTCTTTAACATCTTTCTCTTTCTCTTTCTCTTTCTCTTTCTTTTTCTGAAGTAACAAGGGTTCCTCGCCCTTGTCCCCTGTTTTGCAAAACCCCACAGTTGTCTGGAACTGATTAGGCTGAAATTGTCCGAAACCTCCTCCGTAAAACTGTTGTGCTTGAAATCCGCAGCTGTTCAGACTAGTTTGCTGGTTGTAGTTAGAGTTGTTATACCATCCCTGTATGTTTTGAGTCTTGAGGAATTCTTGCAGCCGTTTTTCTCTCATTACGAGCGCCTGTTGATCTTTGGCTAGTCTTTCTTGAGCTCGCAAGTATTCCTCCATTAATCTTGTCTGTTCTGCAATAGCCTTAGCTTCCTCAGCCTTTCCCTTCTCTTGTTGCATTTGCATTGCTATTTCCTTTTCTTGCTGCATTTTCCTTGCTATTTCCTTTTCTTGCTGCATTTGCATTGCTATTTCCTTTTCTTGCTGCATTTGCATTGCTATTTCCTTTTCTTGCTGCATCTTCCTCGCTATTTCCTTTTCTTGCTGCATTTGCCTTGCTAATGCTATTTCCTTTTCTTGCTGCATTTTCCTTGCTTTTTCCTTTGCCTGGTGCATCTGCCTGGCTTTATCCTTTTCTTGCTGTAATTCTTGTTGAACCCGTTTTCTCTCTGTTACTTCTTCCTTCTTCCTTCTACCTTCCTCTGCCAGTTTCTTTTGCTCTGCCTCCTTTTTAACCCTTATATCATCCTGGTATCTCTGGAAATTATCGCGATTCCTCTGATCCTCCTCAGCTCTCATCTGAGAGCTGTATTGGGACTTGGAATGGTTGCTGCCATGGTTGTTGCCATGGTTGTTGCCATGGTGGTTGCCGTGATAGCTGATGGGGATGTTCACCGCGGTTTTTTGTTTAGTGGTGTTGGTATAAGGCTGAGGCAGCTGTGGTGGTCTGGTCTGGAGTTGGGGATGTTGTTGTTGATATGTCGCCTGATGTTGTTGAGCATATCTCTGAAATGTAGATGTTTGAACTTTTAACAGGGTACATTAACCGGATCAGGCAATGTGGTTGACATTGTGTATAATTTGATAGACATTTCACCGTAAACTAAATGTTCATTGTTTTGCACGCAGTGTGATTAATTGACTGTTTCTCCAGTTTTCGGAAAGTTTACCACATTATGACTATTAATCATGGTGCTCTATATAGCAATCGTGCAAAAGGGCACATTTAAGACAAGCACATATCCATAAGACGGATAGAATCAGTTGGTTTGAAATGACACCTGGTTTGGTTGAAGTGGTAAGTCTGCCACATTCTGTATCATTCCCCGCCCATCCCCTTCTGAAATCGTCCTGTCGTCATCGTCATCTGTAGCTTCCTTTTGCATCTCCGTCGGCTTTCCGTTCTTCATTTTGACTTTGAATTTGTCTATTCCTGCTGCTCTCAACCCTTCGCTTAGTTCTGTATCTGGAAATTAGGATGTGAAACACTCGAAGAATTTTAAATTGTTCAGCTGTCTTAGGAACTTAAACACAACATAAAAACACTACAAACACATGAGGTAATTTTTGTTTCCTGCTTTCACATTGTTGGAAGAATTATAAAAAGTATAGAAACTTCCAGAACACCAATCTGAACAGCTTATCTCACTTATAGTTTTAGTCTCCTCCTCACTATCATTGAAAGCAGCGTTAAGGGCCGTCATGCTAGGATACCCTCTACTGTATTGTAGCACGATGTTGTTGGTTTCAACTCGGTACTTCCTCCCTTGGTGCGAGAAGAACAGGTTACTTTCGTCCTGCATGTCTGCTTGTTCCAGATCCACCATCGTCCACTTACCGTCTATTATGCAGCCTGGTGTGGTGGTTTTTACAGATGATAAAGTTGTTTGATCTATATATTGGGAAAAGATTAGACTTGGGCGTTGTTTTTAACTTTAGAACTATTATTTGATAATGATCTATTATTATAAGGTGATAAGTATTGTGTTGATTTGTTCATAACCTGATAAAACTAACTGTGAGGATGTTATAGAATCTGCGGCCTTACAAAGTTTATCATAGAAAGTACTCTATAGTCTATAATACTGCACCTTGATATAAATCCAGATTCTACCCTAGCTTCTCACAAATCCCCTTCCCTAAACCACCTTCCCAACAGTAGATCACTAACCGATGTAGTCCATGGTACAAACA